CTGCTTTCATGTACACTCCTACAGTGAGGTTGAGGTTATTCTGATTGGATCTAAAACTATTCTTTTGAAGGCCTGAATAACTTGGTGGACCGAGGTGGCAGTCCATAGCTGTGATGCCAGCACCGCCATAAAATGGCTGTGATCAGAGCGATATGAGAGATAGACATCAAAGGTCACAAATAAACCCTGTCTAAGGTGACAACTCTCCAAAAGTACACACTGCACTTGACCATTCTATTTTTTGGAGAAAGGGAAGGCATCTCACCTTGAGTTTTGGCAAGAGAGACAGCCTTTGTTAATTTTAAATGCATTTGGAAACTAGTAATTAAGTCACCCCCCCCCCCCCCCCCAATGGACTGGGAAATTGACATGCTCTGGAGAGCCAGAGTAATTATATTTGTAAAGAGCAGTGATACAAGATACTCCCCTCTGACTGGGACTCATTACACATCATTAGAGAGGCGCGGTAACTACGCAAATGAATGCGCATTACAGACCACACACACACATTCACACAACTTACACGCACACAATACCTGTCTCACACACACACACGCAGATCAATGAACACACACTGTTTCTCTTTGGTAAACAAACTCTGTTCTTCATGCTGACCCGACTGTGGAAAGCCCTGCGCGGACAGCGTACAACTATTCTGCATTTCTCTTCTGGTGTTACTCATACTGCGGTGGGTCAATAAGTAATTAAAGATTACATCTGAAATGAATTCACATTCATCTAGATAGTGAAAGGTTCAGATATGAAAGTTTCCAAATGGGGCCCCAGGAGGATTGTGGGCCACCCTTTGAAGCAATAATTACCATTACAGCAGCGTAGGGCGTGAAGCTGCAGGGGGATGATAGAACACAGCTAGAAACTTAGTGGTCTCCTTTAATTGGAACTGGAGTGGCAGCGACTACAACTCTCTGCCATGTTACCTCTTCTTCATACAGTATTTCTCCTCTCTCTCTGCTTCTTTTTTCTCTCTGCGAGTGTTTGTGTTTCACTGTAGAATCTTAAGACACCATGCATACATTATATAACCACAATGGAACATCGACTAAATCCACTGCGGCCCGTCTTTCGGAAAACACCAAACAAATGCTAAATCTATATTTCATGACGCACTGAGCGCCATCTTTCAATATCTTTGCTCCGTTGAAAAGCTGGAAGAAAAAGTCTTGCTGCAAAAATGGTAGAAGGGGAATGAAATGAATGCAATAGATACATAAAACATTCATCGCTGACATTTACCAAGGTTTTGGCGCTGTCCAATTTGTTGAAATGTGCTTGCTGAAAAATGTTTTTCATACTTCACATTAAAAATCCCCTCAGCACAGATTTGTTTGTGAGGGCTGTTGTTGCCCAACAGTTTGGACCTATTGTTTCTGTGAGATGAGTTACTATTCAGATTGTTGTGTGTATTTCAAAGGTGTTTACTGCATTATTAATGCCATATTCAGATTGCCCAGGGACAGTGGGAGAGCTATATTAGTGTCAGAAAGTGTAGTTTGTTGCCTTGTCTGCTTTCACTTTAAACTCATTATCTTGTCTAATTCTCTCTGCCGCCATTATTCCCTCATCCCTTTAAGCAGCCTAATTAAAAGAGCTTTCATTTTTTCATTAATATTAATTTATTTATTTATTTACTCTGCGTCGCTACAAGAAACTGCCAGAGTGGAATCTAAATGACTAGTTTTTTCTTCTTCTATAAAATGGAAGAAGTCCTGCTGCACAGCACTTGAGTTGACGCCATAGTAAGATCTGGACTATTTGCTCTCATCTATCTGTCGTAAGTCCTGATGTTTCACTGCAAGCTTTCAACTGTGTGTGCAGTGGCTAATGTACAGTGTCCAATACAAACAGCTTATCTACTCCCCTTAATGCTGTCTGGACTAGATTAGTGCTGAAACTCTTAGCGGCACCCGTATTCAATAAAACACTGCAAACACAAATAAAATGAAGACATGTAATTATGATTCCTCATGTTCTGAGTATTCACTCTTTATGACTGAAAATCTTCAGACAGATTAGTGTTGATTGGCCCATCACGGTCTTATTTCTCTCTGGCCTTGGTTTTATTTGGTTTATGTGAGTGCGTCTGTAATAACAGTTTAAAGCCGTACCATGGGGAGATTATCCGACCATGCTTCAGCGATGGACATTATCGCTCAACTACATGCATCACTTCTTCTCTGCTCATCTCTCCGAATGGCTGCTGGGGAACTCACCAAGAGAGCTGCTTTGTGAACTGTACGTATGTGTGTGTCTGTGCATGTTTTCGAGTGTGTGCGTGTTTGTGCTAATCCACATCTGAATGTATGTGTCCAAAGATTGTTTTTTGCTTGGTCCTACTGCTCAATGTGTGCTATTAGCATGTGTGTGAGCATGCACATGCTCCGAGTGCTCGCATGTGGCGTTTGAGGGTGTGTGTGCATGCATGTAGAATGACATTTAGCGAAATGTGGCAGCGAGAAAAGAAACATCTGACTCATAATTGAAGTGCCATGAAAGAAATATGATCATGAATCTGTGTTAGGCTTACGTGATCAGCGTTAAACCAGCGGCAGCTCCCGACTACCTTACCACCCTGAAGGCTGATTACAACGCTCAAAATGATACTCCACAAAAAATGACAGAGAAAAACACAGCGCATTCAAGGCGAGCATTTCTGATGACAAAATCGATAGGCCGTAGCGCTCTCATCTCCATCAAAGAGAGAGTCTCAAGATGAATGAGTGATTCAACCACACCAGTCATTTCAATGTCCTGGAGGATAAGGAGGCAGCAGTCCTCAGTCACTTTCCGCCTCTTTGTGACACGTGGAGCTCTCTTAACAGCAAAGCGAGGCAGAACGCTCCTTTAAGGATAAGGCTGGTCATATTGATATTTTTCTTGTTGATAAACATATGCCATGAAAGTACCAACGTCAAAAATGAATTAATTCTGCAAGCAGTCAAAGCCTGATATATGTTTGTGTCCCTTATATGTTTTGCTTTTGACTCTATTTGTGTCACTTTGCCAGAGTTTGTGTATTTCTCAGCTTTAAAAGGAGGCGTGTGGCGCAGTGGATAGAGCCTTGGTATGGCGATCAGACGGTCACAGGTTCAAACCCCACTGCAGTCAGCATGCCGTTGTGTCCCTGGGCAAGACACTTCACCCCAAATTGCTCCTGTGGGGATTGTCCACAGTATTGAGTATGTGAGTCGCTTTGGATAAAAGCGTCTAACAAGTAACATGTAATGTAAAAGTTAAAAAAATTGTAATTTTGAACTCTTTAAACATTTTTATGAGAATAAATTTAAGAGGCCTGAACAAGTTAAAAAAACTCAATGTACAACAATTTAAATAAAAGAGTTTAGAAAGACTGGGAGCATCCAAATTTAGCATATTCTTTCTCTCCTTTTTTATTTTCTTGTTTATCATCCTGTGAACATTGAGATTCATGAAGCGACCTATACATCCCAGGTTGGGACTATTGATGTTGCTATATATTCAGATTCACTTAAAGGTGGGGTAGGTAAGTTTGAGAAACCGGCTCGAGATACACTTTTTGTTATATTCCATGGAATGCTCTTAACATCCCGATAGCAATGAATATCTTAAGTGCTTTGACAAAAAATCCATTTAATCTGTGGAAGCCGTAATACTGTAAAAAGTACGACCAATCATTTTAGCCGGCCCAGCTAAAATAACTGGATGGCCTACCTGCCTGTCAGCCTTCCATCTGTGCACAAACTTATCTCGTGCCCTCATTGGTCATGTGCGCGTTCGTGTGTGTTGGAGGAGGGGCTCTATAAGGAAGTGGGAGATTTTTTCCGGCTGTGTATTTTCAAATTCTAGCGCACTCGAGCTGGTTTCTCCAAAATGACCTACCCCACCTTTAATTACAAATAGCATATTTATAGTAATAATGACTTCTTACATGGTCTAGTAGACATAGACTGGATCATGCTAGCTAATCTTAGCACACTTGAGATAATGCTTTGAAGACAGCAACGAGTTGGTTCCATATTATGCTATACGTCGCTTGTGTTAAACAACATTTGTTTTAAATTGCTTCAACCAAACGATTATCCACAGTTTGAGGAATTATTTGAAATGAAAGCTGAAAAATGAAATGATATATTTTTCAAATGAACGATTAACATCTCTAGTTACAACCAACAGGTTTTGGGTTGTGAGCCACAGACAGCGAAGAGCACAGATGATTCATTTTAGTTTGGGTTATTTCATGGGATTTGTTGACCAAATGAAACATGTCAAATGACTCTTTTCCTTATCCTTTACAGTATGTAAACAGCTGCCTGCAAAAGACCAAATCTTACAGGCAATATATTCCAAAAAGGGACATTTTATTTGATATGCAAAGTGTGTTGTAGCCGGTACATGAAAAATGTAAATATATAGAAATGTGAGGAGAGAAATCCGCTGTGTCAGAGAGACAGATGGAAAAGGTGCAAAGCTTGGGAAGTGTGCTAACAAACTCCATTTTGTGTAGCTGCAGCTGTTTCCATGGAGCTCTCTCTCCCTCTCCTTTGCTCTCTCTCTCTTTCTCACACACACACACGCACACAAGTGTCTGAAAGAGGATTCAGCTGTGTGAGTCAATCTGCAACCAAATGCAACTCGGAAAGAACCCCTCGCTCTCTAACAGACTCTCCTCCTCTCATCTATCTCTCCGGCATCACGCCCATCTCATCATTTTTTTCAACCTCATTACAATAATTTCTTAATTTATTCTTTTACCCCAGTCACAACAACAAACCCACATTCAGCACACTCAATTACTGTGATTTTGATACACGAGCACCGCATCAACAAGAAGCACAGGAACCAGTCGATGCCTTTAAGTGCTGTGCTCCTTCCCTGCTCTTATTTGGAGTGTGTGTGGCAATCAGCAGTGCTCATTACACCTAGCTGCCCTATAAAGATGGCCCAGAAAAATGTCCTTGAGGGAGAAGGTGAAGTAAAAAAAAGAAGAAAGGAAAGCTGCTTACCGAGGACTCCGACGCGGTAGTTGATAGTGATAACGATGACATTTCCGTAGCTGGCCAGGACGCTCCCATCGATCATGTTGCCCGTCCCCTCCATGTAGGATCCTCCGTGAATGTAGACCATCACAGGCTTGGCCCCAGTGTCTCGGATGTCTGCAAGAGCGGCCATCATTAACACATTCACAATGTCGTCCACCCACTCCGATCAAGGGTCGGCTCAGATTCAGAAACAGCAGATACAGTGCATGGTGGCCACAAACAGACAAGCTGACGGTCACCTCTCAGATACCAGCTGTAAGGATACAGTCTGCTGGCTTACTAATGCAAATGAAGGCAATAGTCTTTCATATCTGCTCTATGAGAAACAAATTAATGTCCACTCATTACGATGCGTTCTACTCCATTATAGTAATTGGCCGTTTCAGCTGAAAATGCGGCTTGTCATTTAGCATATAAAGTATTTATCCTATTTAAACCAAACTATTAGGGTTATATTTGGTTTTGTGTTGCCTTCCAGGAGGCAGACCCACTTTCCCATATAGACACACAGGAAGCCATTAGGGAGAATAAAGAGAGAGGTACGCTGACACATCTTCTAACCAGGGAGAAGGCTAATCTGGCTTGACAGTGATAGGGAAAACGCACCGGCTAATTACACAATGCTACCATGCGCCTCTTTTTTACACAGGCCTATCTCTGTGCAACAATTTATTTGCACGGCCCTGCTTGGCATCGCAGGCAGTTACATTTGTGCTTCAGTTTTTGCTAAAGTGTTGTTTATTCTATTCCCAAAGCAGGGCTTGATACCCAGCTGGAGCGACACTCCAGCCAGATAAAGCACATCCAGAGGTATAGGGGAAGAAAAAAGCCTCTGTTTGAGGAATTGACTGAATTACTGGCTGGCTAGCTAGAGCTGGAAGACAAGACAAGAAACTCTCTCTCATTTTCACTCCTGCTCCCCCCCGCCCCGCATTCTGTGTAGCTTCTCGCCTTCCCCTCCCTTACTTTGTATCGCTTTCACTCACAGACTCTCCCCTGTTTCTCCCCCGCCTTCCCTCCATCTCTGTCCAACTCCCTGCCTCTCTCTTTTCCCCCCCCCTAAGCCCTGAGAGTGGTGAGAAGGGAAGAGGTGGGAGGGCAAAGAGTGAGGAAGACAGAGAGATAGAGAGGGAGGGAGAAAAACAGAGCGGAAGGAAGGAAGGAAGGAAGGAAGATAGAAAGAAAAAGGAAAGAAAGTAATAAAGATATAAAACAGAGAGAGAAAAGAGAAAGTGGGAGCAATGGGCTCAGATTTAAAAGGTCGGTATTGTATTCTGGTTGCTATGGCGACTGAGAGCCAAAATTCAAAAATCCTCAAGAACAGCTAATCGCCGACCACATCCTGCATAGCCCAATCTGCATCCATCTGCAGCAGCGCTCGTCGTTATGCACCCCATCACATTAGCATGCCGAACACCAAGGACAACTACTTAAATGCATTTTGTAGAGACACAGCTTTTCTGTGCCCCCTATAGCAGAGCTCATCCTGGATTCACATGTTTGGTTTTTTTCTTCTCTTCCCGTTATTCCCTTGGTTATTCATGGCCCTGTTACGTTTAAAAGCAAAGCAATAACTTGTATATGATGTGCCCTTATTTATGGCTTTCTTTATCTTGCTGGTATCTGAGAAGGCTACACAGTGAAATGTGATTTATAGCTGACACTTCTCTATGCACACACTTATCTTAGACAAGAGGAGGGGATGCATGGGGTGAGGAAGCATGATAGGTACAGTCAGAGAGGGGAGAGAGGGAGAAATACAGCATATCCTACACAAGCTACTCAAACAAATGGGCCACAGATACAAGAGAATGGCATAGAGGGTGACGGAACAGGGGGCAGAAATAAGAAAAAGAGATTAGTCATGTCAATGTTATCAGTCACCTCTTTTGTTGATTCATATCGGGTCTCCATGACAACAGTTAAATCCCTTTGAGAGAGCGATACAAGACACTGAAGCTCTACTTGGTCTAATCTATTTTTTGGCTTGATCTGATGTGGGGGGCGTCACACTGATGTGATATACAGTTATCACTGTGTCAGAGGGAAATCTACATGCAACAGATCTTAATTTGACTCCAGTTAAAAGTGAGGAATAATAATCCTTTCCAAATACAGCCACATGCGGGCTGCAGCACCACATGACATGGAGGTAATGAGGTGAGTTGCTCTTCTTAACCAATCAGATCTGAGCTTTATCGGCCGCAGCGGACGGCTTAATCTGGTGTAACAGGTGACAAAGTGGCTACCTCGAAAAGCTGCCTCCGTATTCACTAACGTCTCCGAGGCAAACACATCATTACATCGATACACATATTCACAGCATCAAAAAGTAGCACAGTGCTAGAAAAAGAAACAGAGGTTCATTAATGCACAGACTTGAATATTTGCAAGACATATCGCATGCACAACCAGTTGAAAAATAAGAAGAAATAAAGAAAAATACACTCGTGTTTTGGGGATGAACAAAGAAATCTATACGTGACAGAAATGCAGATGAAAGCTGATGTTCAATGGAGAGTGAGCTGGACGGAAAAATAATTCATGTAACGCATCATTTGCTCAGATATTCCTCGTCATGCATCACCAACTATACGGTGACACACAGTACACACTCCCAGCACATTTTATACGAACAGCAACACAGTGGAGAGAAATAAATACATACATAGAAAACGCCAGTTCACTGCACCGGCTTAAGGGTGGGGGACGGTCAACCAATATGTCACAGGACCTGAGGATCACCTTTCATAGGTGCACCACCACAGTGGCTCTGGACTGATTGGAGTGTCAGTGGGAGGCATAACTCAGGCCTGAGCCGATCCTCTAAGTGTTGCTGCTGCAAGTGTAACCCCACCAGGAGGGCTGGGAGCACTCCTTCCTTCCTTCCTCCTCCATCTTATTTCCTCTTCCCCTCACTGTACCTCAACCTTTTTGTCCTTTGCCGCACACTCCACTGAAAACAGTCAGTCATATATCTGACGTTAAGCGGCCCCAGAACCGGCCTTGACACTCCAGAGTGGGACGGGACAAAGGCGAGTGGAGATAACTGTCGGTGGCATTCACTGTGTCAACACTTGGTGAAACATGGTGGCTGTCAGCGGCTATCAGTGAGGTTTGAGGTGGGAGGGGCGGGGGACGGTGACAATGTCCTGATGTGGCAGGACATGACATGCACCCTACTGTAGTGCTCTTGTCATGCCAAGCTTCACGCTTCACTCACGACAAGTCCATTACTGGAAATGTTCACATTTGAGAAGCACATTTAGTTTAACTGGGGAGCTCCTTGCAAAACAGGCAGTGTAATTACAGCGAATTATACAGCAGTGTGTGCCGTTGTACTAGTCACTAAGAGTATTCTGAATGTCACCGAATGTCTGCTTAATATTCCCTTTATACTGGATCAAATGAGCTAGCTCTGTGTGTGACTAGGCCTTGGAGGGGGAAAAAGGCTGAAGTGAAAAAACACACAGTAATACATTTTCTATTTTGAACTCCTCTGAGAAACTGGAAGGAAACCACGGAAGAAAAAAATAATAATTGCGGTTGCTATTCCAAGCCAGTGGACTTTCAGAGCCTGCACATCATCAGGAGTGACGGGATGGGCAGGAAAAGAGCGTGTCAGATTTCACAGTGTTCTCCACAACACTTGACATTTCTGAGAGGTATGACTTATGTATATAAAGAAAATCTAAACATGGCATATGAGAAGGAGAGAGAGTGTGCGCCTCTGCTATGAATCTTGACATCGCTACAGTTAAAGTAATAGGAGGAATGACCTTTGTGTGAAGGTGACTTCCTGCTCACTGGCTGGTGTGTTGGCGTGTTAAATGTGATGTTGGCAACGGGGCAGACAGAGAGCAGTGAGTGCGGGGATGGAGAGAAAAGAGCGCAGAATAGACGCTGGAGGAGTCAAATAAAAGGCAAGACACGGTGAGAAACCTACAAGACTATTGGCAAAAGCTTCCTACAGCTGGCCTGGATCTAACTGGGATGAGGAGGCTGTAGAGGTGCTGTCATCTCTAAGACTCACAGACAGCTGTTTACTCCTTGACTGAACCAAGACTTACTCTTTAGTCTCTGAGAGAAGTCTGTTGTCCTTGAGGCAAGCCACACAAGCTGGCATTACTGTACAAACCCAGTGGAGGGTTGAGGACAGCACCAATACAGGCGTTACAGATGTGCAAAACACAAACTCCCTCAGCCTCAGTGAGCAAATTCAAAGTCCATCTCCACTCTTCTTCCAATCTCCAGAATGTTCAAAAGCAGCCTGTTTTTACATGTTTTTGCCTTCCCAATTATTTCCTGCCACTCAAGAGCAAAGGACAAGTTGGGAAACATACATGACAGCAACAGTGTGGTTCTCCGATCCTTTGAAATGGCTCGTATGATGCCCTTGTGGATGAGCCATTAGCAGCAATGCTTATCTTGAAAAGAAGCTGAGCAGTAGCATCCAAATATCTCTGCATAAATGGGCTTCAAAGGGGCATGATTCCTCAACCCTGCCACATCATAGAGAATAGGATAGTGGCAGAATGGAGAGAATGGAGTGTGAATTGCCCCCGCTGTCGATTCACCAGTCTTCAGCCTGCCTGAGCTGAGGGCTTTGCTGGATGGGGATCCAGTCAGGCCTGTGCAATGGAATTAATGGTAATACCCAGGCAGGTGGAGCTCAGCTCTGCTTCCTGGCACAGCAACCAAGGAGAGCTCCTCTGGGGGTGGGGGGGGGGGATGTGTGTATGCTGTGTATTCGGCGCTTGCTTCTAGATCTTGGATGCAAGCATTGTGAGTGTGTGCGCGTGTGCATGCATCACTGGTTTAATGGATGCGGGTGTACGTGTCTGAGCGTGTGCACACTCATGCTGGGTGGAAGCCTTCCTCCTGATTAGAACTAGAGTCTCAAAGTGCCAAATGACAGACTGAGAACACACACACAAACACACACATGCACACACCTATTTTTCATCAGTGGGAGAGGGCCGAGGCAGCAGTGGTGCGAGACACTCTGGAGGTGGAGTGGGGACGGCTGCTCTCTGCCGAACACTGGGCACAGTACCTCAGCACCACTGCCATGTTCCACCTGGGAGATTTAGCTCCTACACAGCCTGACTTCC